TCTGATTATCACTTAGCATAATGCTCTAGTTCCATCCGTGTCGATGTAAATGGCAAGATTTCTTTCTTTTCTTTCCTTTTCTTTTTTGACGGCTCAGTAATTTTCATTGTACATATACCACATCATCTCTCTCCATTTATCTGTTGATGGACATCTGGGCTCTTTCCATAGTTTGGCTTTTGTGGACATTGCTGCTATAAACATTGGGGGCCGGTGCCCCTTTGGATCACTACTTTTGTGTCTTTTGGGTAACTATTAGTGCAATTGCTGGGTGTAGGGTAGGTGTATTTTTAACTTCTTGAGGAACCTCCATACTGTTATTTAATCTTAAAAAAAGATTTTATTTATTTTTTTAAAGATTTTATTTATTTATTGGAGAGAGAGAGAGCAGGGGCGCGGGCATGAGTAGGGGGAGGGGCAGAAGGGGAGGGAGAAGCAGACTTCCCTCTGAGGGGGGAGCCCCACGTGGCACTGGATCCCAGACCTTGGAATCATAACCTGAGCCAAAGTCAGAGGCTTAACCCACTGAGCCACTGAGGCACCCCAGATTTTATTTCTTTATTTGTTTTTGAAGATTTTGTTTATTTATCTGAGAGAGACAGCAGGAGCAGGGGTGAAGAAGAGGGAGAAGCAGACTCCGCGCTGAGCAGGGAGCCCAGTGGGGGGCTGGATCCCGGAACTCCAGGGACATGACCTGCATTGAAGGCAGATGCTTAACCAACTAAGCCACCCAGGCGCCCCTTGATTTATTTGAGAGAGAGAGAGAGCAGAGCAGAGGGGGAAAGAATTCAAGAGACTCTGTGAGCTGAGCGCAGAGCCCATTACGGGGCTTGATCTCACAACCTTGAGATCCTGACCTGAGCCAGAACCCAGAGTCAGATGCTTAACCGACTGTGCCCCCCAGGCGTCCGTGATTTTAGTGCTTTGTAAATACGATCCGTGTGTCAGTTTCAGGTTGTTTGTCGAATTCCTGAGTTCGGTCCAGTCTTGGTGTTTTCCTGACCGGAGGGCATTCCTACCTAACACCTTCTTCTAGGTGCCCTCCGCCCCTGGGGCTGCCTATTTCTGCCCGTGTATTTGCCAGGTGTACATAAACAAATTTTTCCAGAGCACGTTCAGAATGAGATCAGCCAGGTCCGATGGCTTGTCGATTTCTCTGTCCTCGTATTTCCGCCTTCCACGCTGGTGGCTCCCAGATTCCTCGATGGGGGGACTCTTTGTGTCCTGTAGTCAAGTATGTCTGGTGATGTCTGCAAGACCACGTTGATGCACTGAAAAACTTGACCCAGAGAGCCTTTTCTTTCTTTTTCTCCTTTTTTATTGTGAATTTCATTATTTTTTGTGGCGAATATTCCACCGTGTATATATACCCCATCTTCCTTACCTGTTCATCGATCACCGTGGACTCTCTGGCTGTTTTCCTATCGAGGCTGTTGTAAATAATCCTTCCAGGAACACAGGGGTGTATATGTCTTTTCACATGCGTGAGGTTAATCCCAGAAGTTGCATTGCTGGGTCGTGGGGTAGTTCTATTTTAACTTTCTTGACGAACCTCCGTCCCGTTTTCCAGAGGAGCTGCGCCACTCTGTACTCCCACCAACAGTCCGGGAGGGTTCCCTTTTCTCCACAGCCTCACCCCAACACTGGGCTATTTCTTGTCTCTTTGATCCCAGCTCTTCTGACAAGAACCAGGTAAAATCTCATTGTGGTTTTGATTTGCATTTCCCTGATGATGGGTGATGTTGAGCATCTTTTCTCGGGTTTGTTGGCCATCTGTGTCGTCTTTGGAAAATGTCTACTCGGATCCCGTGCCTATGTTTTAAGCTGGTTGTTTTTTTTTTTTTTTTGTTAACGGAGTTGTATGAGTTCTTTGTCTGTTGTGGATGTTAAGCCCTTGTTGGGTCTGTCGTTCACAAGTATCTTCTCCCATTCGGTCGATTGCCACTTCATTTTGTCGATGGTTTCCTTCGCTGTGCAGAAGCAGAGAGCCTTTGATTCCATGAAACTTGGTCGTGCATCAGAATGTGTTGCTTGGTGCTTAGTCAGGGTCCGTTCTTCCATCAGCTCCTTGTCATACATGCTGAAGCTTTAAGGCGGGGAGAACTTGGAACCTGCACCTTCTGGAAATTGCCTGCCAGCCTGTCTTTGAAGGTGCAGGGGAAATGCCTCTCTTCTCAGTGTGGTTGCAATATACCCACTGGGCTGGGCTCAGGGTTCTCAGGACCCCTTCCTGGACCTTCCTCTCTGTGAGGCTGGGGTTGCCCGGAAGGAGATGCTCACTTCAGATCGGTGGCATGTTCTTGTTCACCGAAGGGTTAAGCTTCTCGCAGGCTCTTCAGGGCTTCTCCACTGGAGTGTTGGGGGTGTGCAAATGCTGGGTGGCTGTGGTTCCCACATGCCATTGCAATTCCTTAGGGATGTCTTGACACAGAAGTGAGGGGCTGGAGGGGCCTTGGGGCCTGAGGGGAGGGCGGAGAGCAGGGGGACCTCTGGCTGGGGCGAGCCCCATGGGGGTGGGAGCATTGCTGCCGGTAGGTGGGCCTCCGGTGGGACCATGGGGAACCCTTCGTCCTCTGGTTCCAGGAAAACTGTACTCACAACAGTTGGCAGCCGTCTGCTGATTCAAGTTTTTAAATTACTGCATCATGTAGCTTTATCTTGGTTGCTGAGTTCGGGGGGCGGGGGGGGGGCTTACATTTTGCCCCACCCTTGTCCTGGGCCTGGGTGGTCAGGGCACACAGGAAGGGTCCCCAGCGTGCCACCAGCGTACAGCTGAGACCACCCACCCTCCCAGCCCCACTTGCCTTCTGGCTGGGGGGTGGGAGCACCGGGTTCGGCATCCCAGAGCCGACTCGGGGCGGAGTGGGGGGGGGGCGGAGGTGGGGCGGAGGCCGGTGGCCCTGACACCACAGTGGCTGGGGGACAGGACAGGACTTTTTTTACTGTTTTTTGCCACTTGAAGCGTCCCCTTGCTGGCTGAGCCGGTGAGCCTCATCTGGACAGAAGGAAATGGCCTCCGTTATGTTATTGACCAGGCTGAGTTCCAGAAAGGAAAGCCGCTTTCCTCTTGAGATTTTTTTTTTTTCCCACAAGGTTTTTAATTTTTGAGGTTTGATTTTGAAGTACCTTTGGACTTTTTAAGTTACCAACATAGTCCAAATGGTTGTGCAACAGCGTCCGTGGGCTGGAGGCCACCGTATTCTACACTTTCAGACGGTTACTTTTGAGTGCCCTGCATGTTAGCCTGATAGAAAAGAAAAAAACGATACCTCAAAAAAAAAAAAAACCTCCCGCCAACTAAAATAGCACAGACTAAGAGCACTGGTAGTGACCTTGCAGACCTCCAGAGGAGGGTGTCTGCACTCCATGCTCAGAATGGGGGCAAAGGTTGAAACAGGTGCTGTCCTTCTGTCCCCAGACTCCCTTCAAGTCCCCTGCTGTCCCACCCGTCCTCAGGCTGAGTTGTTCTCAGTCTTTTTTCTCTTCCATGATCTTCACACGCTTATAGGGTACTGACCCATCGTTTAGTAGAACGCTTCTCAATTTGGGTCCGTGTGCTGGCTTTTTGTGAATAAATGTGAGTTTGGCATTTTTGGGAAAAATACCATAGAGGCGACTTTGTGTCCTTTCAACTGCACCATCTCAAAAGACACGTGACACAGGACATCGATTTGTTCCTTCCATTTGTTCCTTCCGTGGCGACGCTGACTTTGACAGTTCAGGTGGTTTGCCAGGTGTCTTCCCAGTAAACTTAATAATATTTTCTCCGTCTGTAATTAGCAAGTATCTTGAGGGGCATTGCCTTTGAAAGTGTGTAAATATTCTGTTTTCGCAGGAGCTTTCGTTCACGAACGTGCATTCATTGATACGTTCTTGCCTGAAACAGTTACGACTGTGGTATTGGCAGACAGAAGCCCATCTCAATCTGATTTTGTTCCTTTATGTTTTGCCCAAGTTACAATGTACCCTAAACCACTAGAAACCAGAAATGGAACCTCATCGGTTTCCGTGGGAAGGGAAAAAAAGGGATGTGGAGACGAGGAATAAAGGAAGCAAAAGCCTGAAAAGCAGGCAGAAAAGAATCCGAGAAAGTGGGATATTAAAAACACAACATGAGATGGCAGGAGGAAACGTAAATACGGTGATGGTCCAGCACCTGCAAATAGGTGGAACTCGTTTCCGAATGATCGGGTTGACGTAGAAGGGAAAGTCTAGCGAGGTGGTGTTTTCAGAGCTCTGCCTCAAAGGAAGTAGCACGGCTGGGCGGGAAGCAGACGGGGTGAAGGTGGACGGCAGGCCCTTCTCGGCTAGAGATGCGAGGAGTGGTAGCAGCACAGTCCGGCAAGAGGGTCTTGCAGTTCTGCGCGTGCCGGGAGCTGCCGGGAGCTGCCGCGAGGAGCCGCTTCGGGGTTACGGAGGAGTGTCACGGAGCGGGCCGGCTCGCAGACCCGAATTCAGCGGACGGCAGGGGTGCAGGGCTTTAACTGCAGCGGTCGTGACATCGCACGCATCCGCCCGAGCGGCAGCAGCGCACACAGCAGAAGCTGGCGTAACTGTCTGGTGAAATCTGACATCCGTGAACTTGGTCGAGCTTTTACTGTACCTCAAACACCAATAGAGCGAGCAGAAAACAATCAGTAACGATGTAAAAAGTCAGGACCACACCACGAGGGGGCTCTAGTGTGTGTGCACGAAGATGGCAGGTGCACACACTCAGATCCCCTGTTCCCAGCCAACAGATGATGTGCTTTTTTGGCACATAAATACGTAGTCGCTGAACAGATGAACTAGAACAAAAGCAAATGGTCGGGGCACCTGGGTGGCTCGGTCCCTTGAGCGTCCGAGGCTTGCTTTTGGGTCAGGTCACGGTCTCCGAGTCGTGGGATCGAAGTCTCCGAGTCGTCGGGCTCGGCACTCAGCGGGGAGTCTGCTTGGGATTCTGTCTCCCTCTCCTCCTACGCATCCCCCTGCTCGTGCACTGCCTCTGAAATAAATAAATAAATCATTTCAAAAAAAGCAATACTCGGGCCCAGACGATTCAGTCCTGGCCGGGCCAGCAGGTTAGACAGCAACAACAGGAAGAGTGGACCTGAGCACATGTTTTGGGAAACGAAAGAACATTTTGCCCTGGGGTAGCACTGGTCCAGATCCCAAGTGCAAAAGCACAGAGATACGTAGGAAGTTCCCAACATGTGCTCCCCCAACAGAGCCCACCCCCGTGAGGTGGCAGGTGGCTGTCCCCGTGTGTGCTCGCACGTGTCCAGCTGGAGGATGTGTGCGGCTCCGTGTGCAGCAGGGGCTTCTCTCGATGACCCCCATCTTCTTTTTCGGATCGAAGGTGCCCCTGCCAGGCGGTGAGCCCGAGTGCGGCCCCGATGAGTACAAGCCTGAGGATCTCAGCTGGTGCTGCAAGCGATGTCCTGCCGGTGAGTCCCAGGGGATCTTCTGGAGCCTTGGGGGGCGGCCCTCCCAGGCTGGAGAAGGGCGGCTGTGGGCCCTTGGAGCAGACAGAGCTGGAGGCTGGGCGGGGAGACCCCCGCTGGCTCAGGTGGGTGGACCGCTCCTTGGCAGCCAGCCCCCCCATCTTGGCCCCCCTGGGGGGCCTCTCCTGTGAACAGGGTTGTGGGCTTGTTTTGTTCAGGGAGGTCTTTCGGCAGGCTGGAGGAAAACATGGGGGTGCACGGCCAGGCCGGATGCTCCTAGCTGTCCTCCCGTTGGGGTAGTCGACCGCGGACCCCTGACGAGGAGGGTCCTAGCGGGGCAGGTGCGACCACGGTGCTCAGGCACAGCACGTGCACGGAGGCTTACTCACCTTCGTGAGGATGCTCTGAATGAGCCCCATAGATCAGGAGGGGGCCGCAGGCCTCAGGTGGCTGCTCTGCCCACCCCCCACAGCATGTACCTCATCTCCACTCGCAGACGGATGTGCACACGCCGTCTGTGAGAGTTCCTTCACGGATCTCGTCTTTGCGCGGGCCAGCCACATCCCTCTACCCATCGCCACCGGCGTCACCCACTGCCCCGCATGCTCCCTGCCCCCGCAGGGCTCCCGTTCCGGGTACTGAAGGTCCCCACCTGGCCCACTCCCCTGACACGCTCCCAGCACAGCTCTGTATGCACCAGGCGCGTGTGGGTCCGCACGTGTGCACACGCACGGCTCGTGTGGGCATGCATTAGCCGCGGGTGCTTCGACTGGGAACCTTGTGAACTCAGCCTGTGTGCAGGTCCGGGGTGTGACAGCCACCTCCCAGCAAGGGCTGATTGTCTCAGCTACGGCCTTTGCCCGAGGCAGGCGCTAGACCGGGGGGCTCCTCCGGGACTGGTCAGAGACTCTGTCTCGAGCCCTCCGGCGTTCCCTGTAGATGAGCTGGGAGCTGTCAGCCCACCCCGGGGGCAGGGGCGGACACGCAGACGTTGTCGGCCACAGGAGCCTCCAGTGTGTATGCTCAAAACCACCTGCTGACATGTGTTCCAAGATGTCACTGAAAGCCGTGGGGCACCAGGCCCCCAGTTCCTGGGACACCGGAGGCCAAGTGTCAGTCCAGAACGTTCCAAGGAGTTAGTGGCGAGGTCTGGTCCTCCAGTAGAGGCCTCGGGGTCGGGTCCGCTCTGGGCCTCCACCTCACCTCTGTGTTCCCTCCTTTACAGGCTGTCATGTCAGCGCGGACTGTGGTGTAAACCATGGTGTTCCGAAATGTAGCCCATGCGAACCCGGAAGCTTCCTCTCCCACCCAAACGGGGAGACCAGCTGCTGGCCGTGCACTCAGTGTCGGGCGGGTAAGTGCGCCGCAGTCCAGCACAGTGGGATCTCGGGGTTTGGAAACGTAGCCTCCTGGCCTCAGCTTGTTGGCGTTGCCCCAAACGGGATGATGTCAGATGAACACAATGACAGAGCTGCAGGGTACCGATCTCAGGGTGTTCTTATCATGATGGTGGGTGCACCTGCTTAAAGAATCAGCCTTCCGGGAGTCAGGATCTTAGAGACGCTCGGGGCAAGGGTCATATACAAAAGGTTCTATTTCTACGTGGGAGCATCAAGTTGTTTTAAAAGATGTCATTCTTTAAAAAGATACTGTTTGGATTAGCGAAGAAAAGATGAGAAACTTTGAGAAAATCTAGGAGAGGATGTATAAAATTTTTGTTTATGTGAACAAACAACATTGAAGAAAGTCTACTTACGCAGAGAATCAAGATTATAAGTAGGAAGACTCTCTGTTTTAAAGATATCAGATCTCTGTGAAAAGGATTCTTAGAATCAGTGGATTCCCAAGATATCCTGCTGTAGATTTTATTTCATTTTCTTTATTTTCTTAAAGGTTTTATTTGACAGAGACACAGAGGGAACACAAGTAAGGGGAGTGGGAGAGGGAGAAGCAGGCTTCCTGCTGAGCAGGGACCCCGATGCGGGGCTCGATCTCAGGACCCTGGGATCATGACCTGAGCCCAAGACAGACGCTTAACGTCTGAGCCATCCAGGCGGCCCGCTGAAGATTTTAAATAACAATTTTTATTTAAAAAAAAAAAAAATCGGAACAGGTATTTTCATGCAATCTAACAAGCTGACAATTGTCAAAACTCTCAGGAGGAAGAGAGAGAGCGTACTCCCTCTCCCCCATGTTACGACTCAGTGCAGAGAGGCAGGAGGACAGCGTGATGGTCAGGGCAGGGTGGACGGTTGGGCCAGCGGAACAGCGGACAGCGCCGTGGATGCGAACGGTGGCTTGTGGCCCGGTGACCGAGCCCTCCCCAGGAGCAGGGCTGGCATCTCCAGCGCAGACCGCCGGCCGCCCCCCGAGCCGCTGCCCGTGCAGGACGCAGGCCGGGAAGCTCCCGCTGCGCTCACGAGTGTGCTCATGGTGCAGCTCAGGCCGCGTGGGAAAAGTCAGACTTTGAGAGCAGAAGGTAAAGCGTGTTTATGCCCTGGTGGTAGTGGAAAAGCATCTTACGGGAGCCGTAAAAGTCATAAACCGTACCCGTGACTGCGTTCAAACGGCCAACTTCTGTTCGTCACGAGACACCCAGGTTTGGGAATTCAGCCATGAAGTGGGAGAACGGATTGATGATACAACTCCGGGAAATTCACATCCAGAAGAAACACATCAGTAGGGAGGTTTGAAAACACACTCGATTTAAATGGAGACACAGTCGCGGCCAAGACGACGGGACATACGTGACCAGTACGCATGTAAAAAGCATGGGAGTAGACGGGCAGACATGCTGTCCTCCTAGCAGACGGACAGATTTCTGGCGTGGGGGCCGAGGACAGGAAGGACTCACCCCCAGGGGCGTGCAGGAGTCCGTACGCCCTGGAAACAGTCTTGGCAGAGGTGGTGAAGTTGAAAATGCGCCTAAGCGGCTGCCTGCCCACCCCGTGTCCTGATCTCGACCCGGGCAGGCGCTTGCTCGTGTGTGCTGAGAGCTGGGGAAGCGTCTGCAGTCGCATAAAGCCAGCAGCAACCCAAATGTCCAGGGACGGAGAGATGCGTCCCCGAGGGGCCAGCCCGGCGTGGGGTACACGGTGGGATCCGGTCCCGTCGTGTCTAGCCCAGCGCGTCGGGCTTCAGGAAGCTCCAGAATGTAGCGATGGGCTGCGGAGGGCTGAACCCGGGCTGTGGGTCTGGGACGTGGTACCCGGCGGGGAGTGTGGTCCCGTTTTGTTGTCGCCTGTCTCTGGAATGCTGTTCTGGGTCTCGAGCACCGCGGAAGGGCTCTGGGTTGGTGGTGAGCGCGGCCGCGGTGGGTATTGCTGGAGGAGGAGGGGTCCCCCTGCCTACCGTTCTCTCTCTGAGGAGTCCCTCAGGCGGCATCCCTGGCGGTGCTGTGCTCTTCTGTGTGGGGCGAACAAGGTGAACGGAACGATGGGGGTGGCTTCTGAGCAGGTGGCCCTGGCCCCTCGGCCGGGATGCAGGGCTGAGGTCTGGCTGTTGGCCCCTCTCCGCCCCTGCACAGAAGGGAAGGGGAGGCCGGGTTCCGTGCTGGGCGCAGCCCGGTGTGGGCGGGGACGGTCCTGCCCCCGGCGCTGACCCTCAGCCCTCCCCCTTCAGACCAGGAGATGGTGGCCACGTGCACACGGACCCGCGACGGGCAGTGCCAGTGTGCGTCGGGGAGCTTCTTCTGCGACTCACCGAGCTGCGTGGAGAATTGCTTCCGGTGTCGAAGGTGCTGGGCCCCCCCTGTGCTCACGGTAGCAGACCCTAAGCGCCCAGCGTGGTGGAGACGGTGCAGACACGTGGGCAGTGACGAGTCCACGCGGGGCAGAGCGCGTCGGGAGGGACTGGCCTCTTGAGCAGAGGCCCAGGGAGGGAGGAGGGAGCCGTCGAGGGTTCCGGGGGAGGAGAGGTGTAGGCAGATGGAACGACTGCAGAGCAGCGTGAACGCATCACCGTGAGTGACCTGTGGCTGCTGACACACGGCCACACCTGGGTGGTTGTGAGAAAACCAACAGAGGTGTGTTCTCTCACAGTCTGCAGACCAGAAGTCTGAAGCCAGGGGTCAGCGGGGCCGAGCTCCCTCTGCAGACCCTGGGGGAGGACCCTGCCTCGCCTCTTCCAGCCTCTGATGGTGCCGGCACGCCTCGGGGCTCCTGGGCTTACCTGCCTCTGCTTCTCTCCGCTTGAGGTCGTCTTCGCGTGCTTGTGTCTGTCTCTCTGCACCTGGCCTTCTCTCTGTCCCGATACCCTCTTCCCTCCTGTAAGGACAGCGGTCGTGGATGAAGGCCCGCCGTAGTCTGGCGTGACCGCATCCATCACGTGAGCATCTCTGCCGACCCCCTTCCGAGGTTCTGGGTGGACACCGACTGGGGAGGACCTTCTGGGGACGCCGACAGTGCAGAGCCCCTAAAGAGATAGCTCTCCTTTCCTTTGTGAGGCACGTCGTGAACTGACATGACCCAGACTGTGTCGAACAGTAGCTTCCTGGACCTGCAAGTCCAAAGCGAGGACTGCCTTGAGGTCCGGTTCGATCAAGCCTCTGGCTTCTCTGGATTCGCTTGCACGTCCCCTTTTGCACGCGCTTCACCTTTGGGCTACCTTCTTTCTTGAGGGAGGTCGAGCTGCAGCTACAGCAGGGCCAGTCCTCCCAGCACACACAGTGCTATCCAGGAACAGAGGGAGGCTCTGCCCCACCCCCCACGCGTCACAGAGCATGGGACAGAGCTTTACTCCTCAGTGAACCGATTTGGGCCAGGCAGCCGGGGAGATGCCCGGCAGTGAGAGCCCGAGGGCTGGCGGGCCATCCTGGGAGCCAGGGCTCCTCCTGACCCCTGACCTGTGGGTGGTGCGAAGGATGTTTGGGACCGTACCAGGCAGGGAGGAATAATGCTCCGGGTTTCCTCCCTCTGTCAGATGTCCTGGCGCTGTCCTTCGGCCCTGCAATGTCACACATGATACAGTCTGTGACCCAGAAGCTGGTACGGAGGCACCAGGTAAGAGCCGGACGCCACCTCTCCCTTCCAGGTCCGCAGACCTGCCCCGTGAACGTAAGGTGTTAGGTTTGGCAGGCCTGGGTGCCATTCAGACTTGCGGGAATGGGCAGTGGGCTGTGTTCGGCCCGTGGGCCACGGTCACGGCCCTGTCTTGAGTAAACGGAAGGCTCGGAGCCGCGCTGTGGCTCGCGTCCTAGGCTCCCGCGCCGGGCTGCGTGGGCCGGCGGGGTCGCTCGCTGCTGGCGTCCTGCCTGGCGTCCCGCGCGCGGCGGAGCAGGAGGGGAGGGGAGCGGCTGGGTTCCGTGAGGCCCGCGGTTTTCTCCCGGTTAGTCGTCACCTCCTCCATCTCTCCTTTCATGGGATCCCCAAAAGCAGGCCAGGTCGCTGCCTTCAGGGAGGCTCAGCTGGGACCCGAGGCTGTGAGGTGGGCAGCAGCCGAGAGCAGAGGTGAGGCCCCAAGCCTTTGGGCCTCTTGTGCTGAGTGTCTCTAGGAGACTCTTGCCTACTGTTGAGTCCTAGGCGGGGTTGCTTGCTTAGTTTTGGTAGTCAGAGCGGAGCCCTGAACAACGTGGGGCGAGGGGCGCCGGTTCCCTGCGCACGGGAAAATCCCCAGAGAACCCTTGACCCACCCCCAAATTCTTATCTACTGATAGCGTCCTGTTGAATGAAGCCTCCGCGGGACCGGGCAGTTGAATAACTGCTCTGTTGTGTGTTACGTGTATCCCACGTGCTGTATTGTTACAGTAACATAGAGTAGAGAGAAAACAGTAATAAGGAGATCATAAGGAAGAGCAGACACGTTGATGGTTCCGCTGGCCGTGCAGACCTCCTCCTTCCAGCCACCTGAGCAGGACCCCGGGTCCTCGTCTAGGACACAGGAACTATGAGCTTGTCCTGCCTCCCGCTAGGGCCGTTCACGACCATGATTAGCGGGAGAGAGGGCTTGGGGCCGGGAGAGACCACAGTGCCTCCTTGCCTCCCGGAGCGAGGATTTTTTGTACTCGTCACTTGGGCGAGGAACGTGAGCCTGACCCTGCTCCACCATCCTCTGTTTCGTCTCCTTCCAGGAAAAGAATTACCCAAGGATGTGTCCATCCGTGGGCTTGTTTCATTCTTCATCGTCTTGGGCATCCTCCTCATCATTGCTGTCTTCTTCGTCATGTACCGCTATAAGAAGAAAGGTAAATTAGGGTCAGGTCAGACCTGGAGGACCAGCTCCGAGTCCCCATCAGGAGCTCCGAAGTGGACCCCCTGGGTTGGGGGTCCCCCGGGAGGCTTTTGCTGTGAAAGCACAGCTGTCTTGATTTTCTCCTTCTCGTGTCTGAGCTCGGAGCTCTTCGCCTGCTCCCCGCACACAGGTCTTAAGACCCGAATCTCCGGTCAGCTGGCTGGAGGTGTCGCGTCCGGGGTGCTGTGGGCCATGGGGCAGGGAGAGACGGGCGCTGCGTCAGCGTGGGGGCGCCCGGAGGGAGGCAGGGAGCTGGGTGCGGCAGAGCCCCGAGGACGCTCCCCTCCTGTGCTCCTAGCAGGTGTGTGGCCTCACCACTGGTCCTTCAGCTTCTGGAAAGGTAAGGACGCTTTGTCGTGAATTCAGAGCAGTTTCTCCCCTCGTAGAAGTCACTGCCCCGATTTCAGTTCTGATCTTTCTCCTCTTCTTGGTCTTCAGGAAGGTTGGACGGACCTGACAGCGCTGTAAGTATTGTCCTGTGGTTTCCCTAACGGTGGCACCAGGCTTTGGTGGCAGCCGAGTCCCAAAAGTCATCTGGGGTGGGTGAGTGGCGGGCGCACGGGAGCCCTTGCTTTCCAGCCTCGCGTGTGCCTGTTTATCGGAGCCCGAGAATGGGCTGGAAGAAGACTTAAATCCTGTCGGTCTAGGGCGGGGTGGAAAACGAGGGGCAGAGGGGCAGAGGGGTGTGCGTGAGCGTCCCAGGGCTGCCGAAACATCCGGTGTCCGCTGAGGAGCACGAAGCAGTAGAGCTGGTGGCCTGCAAGTGTGCGGGCGGAGTCTGGCATCAGGGGCAGGGCGGCGGGAGGGGGGGGCTCTGTCAGAGGCGCTTGGGAGGGTCCTTCCTGCCTGCCCCCTCGGGCTGGAGACCCCAGTTGTTGTAGGGCCGAGGTGTCAGCCCGTGTCTGCCTCTCTCCCCACGTCCGTGCATCTCAGAGTCGGCCTCTCCGCACACGCTCACTGCTGGTGTAGGGCTCACGTTCCTGCAGTGTGAACTCCCGCAGTCAGGTGCTTCGTGCGGGCGCAGAGCTCCGGCTGCGGACCCACGGGCGCAGCGCGCAGTGCGGGGTGGTGGTCCCTCCCCACAGCCGTAAAGCACGTAACGCGACGGAGCCAGTCACATGGATTGCTCACTTCCCTGGTGTGTGCAGAAGTTGTGCTCACACCAGCGTAGACTGTTAGGTGTGCAGTAGCGTTCTGTGTCCAAACCAGGGTCACACCCTCCGTAAACGATGATGCTGTAGTGCCCGGGCGCCTCGGGGTGCCCGTCGGTTCAGCCTCCGGCTCTCGATCTCATCTCAGGTCTTGCACTCGGGGTCGTGAGTTCAAGCCCGCCATTGGGCGCCATGCTGGGCGGGGGTCTGCTTAAAAGACAAAGAGGTGCTTTATTGCTAATAATTGCTACCGGTCACCTGAGCTCCCCGCTAGTTGCGCAGGTCACCAGGCAAATACAGTCCTCACGAAACGGTCTGCCATTTGGTAGGAATTACCAGGTATTTCTCCCCCCAGAGTCGTGGCTTGGGAAGCCCCTGTGATGCAGGCTTCCGTGACCAAAGGACACGGTTTTGTCCTTTACTCACAGATGGGCCATCTGCAGAGTGAGTCGCTGCTGCCCCTGAATCCTGAGACCGACGGGCCAGCCCCTGCCACAGAAACGTCCTCGTCTTGTCGCACGCTGGAGGAGGGGGGCTCAGCCGTGAAGCCCGAGGCCGGGCCCCACGCAGGCGCCTCCGAGGAGCCGGCGGAGGGCGCCGAGCTGGCGCAGGTGGCGCTCGGGGGGAGCCCCGCGGCCCCAGAGCAGGCGCTACCGACGGCAGCCCCGGCCGCCCCCGGGCCGCAGGACCGGCCCAAGGCGGCCCCTTCCCTCAGGACCCTGGAGCAGGTGGGCGAGCTGTCTGGGGGGTCCGAGGAGCGAGAGCCTCTGCTTGCTTGGCGCTCACTGTGCGCAGAGTCCGTGCTCAGGGCTAACGCGCGCGCTCCGCACGGCCCCTGTGTGCGTTTCCCGGGGCGGCTTCTGCAGCGGGCTGTGTGCTGTCTCCGCGTCCTGGAGGCTTGCGGTCCAGATCGAGGTGTCGGAGGCTGCGAGGGACCAGCGGGCCAGGCCTCTCCCCCGGCGGCTGCTCGCATCTGGCTGGCTTCGGGCTCCGGGGCTTGCGGAAGCGTCGCTCCAAGCTCTGCTTCCGTCCTCACGGGGTGTGTCCCTGTGTACGAGTCCATGTCCAGATTTCCCCTTTGCCTGAGGACGCCAGTCAGGATGGAGTGAGGCTGACCCTCACGACCTCGACAGGACTGTTGTCCGCCTGGACCCCATTCCTAACTAGTCACGTTGAGAGGTTTGGACTCAGCGTGTGGGGCTGCGATTCAGCGCACAGGAGCCCGGGGCCACCTGCTGTCCAAAGGGGCTCTGACACCGAGGAGGGCGCTGAGGCTCGGAGTGTCCTAGTCCAGGGCCCGAGGCTGGGACGTGCTGGACACCACAGCCTCCGGAGCGCGAGCGGGTCTCAGATGGGCCCGGCGGGCCTCGGCCAGCAAGTCCTGCGTGCCGGGCATGGCCTCTGTGCAGCCGGGGCGGCGGGGGGAGGGGCGAGCGCACACTGCGCCCCTGGATGGGCCGTGGGGTCGGGCTCGCTCGCGGGACAGCAATGGTCCCCATCCTCTGTTGCGGGGCTGCACAGCCCGTCCTGCGTGCGACACCTGAGTTTGACGAGATGAGCAGACGCGCTCCGTGGCTCGGGGGTAGGGCTCTTCCGGAAGCGGGGCCAGCATGTGCATTGAAGGGACAGAGCCAGGGTTTGGGGAATGACAAGGGCCCGTGTCTGAATCCTGAAGGCAGGGCCCAGGCGAGGATTTGAGGGACAGGGTCCCAGGGAGGAGATCACGCGGCTCCTGTTCCGATCGCTGTGGCCCCTGGGGTCCCCTGGCGTGGGCGTGGAGGATGCCAACTCCACCGTGGAGACTGGGTTCCTGGGCCGAGTGTCCGTAGGCACCACTGTAGGGAGAGAGGCCCTGCCGTTGTTCAGATTCCCTGCCGGCTCGGAGACGAGTCAGTAGAGACGTTAGGACCCTTGCCCATCTCAGCGGGAGGCCCGGGGGTCCCTCTCAGCCCGTTCTTGCCCCATGTTATGGCCGAGCAGCCCCTGCCCAGAGCGGGGAGTCCCGTGCGGGGCCAGCCGTGGGTGGGAGGCAGAGCTGGGGGCTGAAGGCGCGGCCCTCGGGCCTGCAGCCGGCGGCCTGACGCTGACGGGCAGCCTGACCTCGTGCGCAGGAGAAGCGGGCGTTGGGGCTGCCGCTCTCGGGCACTCAGTGTTGGCTCTGGCCTCCGCTCGGAGCCTCTCTGGAGTCCCGTCTCGCGTTCCCTGTGCATTTCTGTGGACAGGAGTGCTGTCCGTTCGTATTCCCTGGAGCAGAGCTGGGTATCCCCAGGTGACACAGCTCAGTGGGTACCTGCCCGCCTGCCTACCCGAGCAGGGGCCACTGGGCCGCCTCTGGGCCCCGGCCGTGTCCTGGGGCAGCGAGCCCCGGAGGACACACGTGGGCTGTGAACTCTCGGCCCCCGGTGCGGGACTGACTCCCTGAAGGCCTTTGTCCGTCCATAGAGGCCCCATGGCCTCACCCTGCTGCTCCCTCCAACCAGATTGTGGTTGGGCTTCGGCCACACGGATTCTTCCTTCTCCTGCAACAACGTTGTTTTCTTCTCTCCACAGGAATATGAAACTGAGTATTTTGTAGCAGATACATCCAATGAAGGTATGTAATCTGCATCCCTCATTTCTAGATGCTGTGAAGGTTTCATCTTGTTTGGTCTGAATGTCCAGGCCCGGTGTCCTTGTTTCTGAGAGGGGGACACTTGCCTGCGTCAAGCTGCGGGCACCATCTGTCCCCTTGGGGTGCACTATTTCGCGCTCAGGAGTGACATTAGGGGAAACATCATTTGTCAAACAGAGTTTTGTGGGATTCATCGGCTTTGACTACCGCTTTGATTGGAAGATGCGTTCATGTTTTGAAGGAGAAATGAATGGGGGGTAGGAATACTTGTTGCAGCCTCGACGAGCAGGCCCGCTCTTGGCTAGGACTCTGTGCTCTCTCAGGCGTTCAGGGAGGGTTTTTGGGACCTGCTACATGACAGGTGCTTTTTTACATCTCATCTTCGCTAACAGCTCTGCAAGACCACCCCTCTGGATTGGTTTAAAGAGATGGTAGTCTGAAACCCGGAGAGGTTACAGAACCTGCGTCCGGTCTCAGATCCTAGCCACGGTCCCCAGCCGACAGCTGGAGGCCTTCTCAGTCTTGTGCGTCTTACAGCCTCTCTCTGGGTGTCGAGGGACAGCAAAAGGGCAGGTGACCTGCAGCAGACTGGGGATCCCATGCAGTTCCCGACTTCCCCGGATCTTTGGCTCCATCTCCAGGCTCCAGTAATGAGCCACAGGCAGGGCAAGAGCCTTGGCCCCACCTCGGTCTCCCGGCCCCTGGACCCGATTTCTGGGACATCGGCGGGGTCCCACAGGACCTCCCACCTCCTGGGTGTGGCATGCTGGTTGGCACCCAGCCCTGGGGCACGCTGGAGACACCTGGGACCTGTCCCTGGGGAGCCGTGACAGCAGGGGCCACACGGTCCTCCCAGAAATGTAAACAGTCCTCCTTTCTGCTTTTACTTTTTTTCAGACAGGATCTACTATGAATTTGAAAACAGGATTTCTGATAAACACTGGAAAACATTTATGAGGTTTATCGGGCTGCAGGACCATGACATTGACATTTGCGAATGCCAAAACCCCGGCAATTTGATGGAGCAGCATCACCAGATGCTGCTTAGGTGGAGAATCCAGTTGGGAAGGGAAGCCTCTGTTTTTAAACTCTTCGCCGCCCTCCATAAGATGCAGCTACACATGTACTTGGAAAATACTATAAACGGGTTAGTTGCCGAAGGCATCCTGGTCAGACGTTCGGAGACCGCGGATTAGACTTTGGGCTCGGGATCATGCTGTTAAGCCGGATCCTGAATGGACGTGATCTGACCTCCTTTCCCCGTTTGCATCTTACTGGAAACTTCTGGAATCCCTGGTGGGACTGTGCACATTTTCTCCATAGATTGTACAGATAGTTTGCAATGGGGAGGTCAGTCCTACATGCCAGCAAGAGTGCTTCCTGCGGGGCCAGACCAGCTGTGGGGACTGCCTGTGGCCAAGGCGGCAGACGTGGATCCCAGCGAGTCCAGAGTCCGGGACTCTGCTGGCTGCACTCACATTGCCCAGCCCTTTCCCCAGGCACTGAGGCGGGAGGCCGTTTTTCTGCCCTGATCAGCTCCTAAATCGCAGAGATCTGGGATGTCCCCATGACCTGGAACACGCTGCGCCTGTGACTGAGGTTCCCCTATGTAAGGAGGAGTAACTTAATGATTTGACATTATGCCGTATTTATCACAAGTAGAGATAATATATCATTACATTTTTTTTCTATATTTATAGTTGTTTTTGTAAATATTTTTTTACTAGAGAGAGTTCAAGCAGGGGGAGCGGCAGGGAGAGGGAGAAGCAGGCTCCCTGCTCAGCAGGGCTCGATTCCAGGACCCCGGGATCATGACTGATCCGAAGGCAGACGCTTAACCGTCTGAGCCACCCAGGCGCCCCTACAGTTTTCTTTTCTCTTTTTTTAAGATTTTATGTAGCTTCGAGAATTTCTGTGAGCAGGGGGAGGGGCGGAGGGAGAGAGGCAATCCTAAGCCGACTCCCTGCCAGTGCGGAGCCTGCCATTGGGCTCCCGTCTCAAACGCTAACATCAACTTGAGCCGAAATCAAGAGCCAGGTGCTTAGCCTACTGAGCCACTTCAGGACCCCTGCGATTAAGTTTTACCTAATAAAACTTACATTTTAAATCGTGTTTCCTTTTATTTCCGGGGGGTACACAACGTGGGTGTGAGTCCTTGGCAGGGGCTTCATGCACAGAGGACGACACGGACCCCAAGGCTGTAATTTGCCAGAGGCAGGGCTCTGGACTGAGGATTGGAGGCTGGAGAAGCCTCTTCTGGTTTGTGGTGTTCCTCCCATTGCTTGCCTCAGAAGGTGAGCTCCACTCTGCCCCCCTCACCCCAAACATCACCGGTCCCTGGAGTTAGGCACAGATTTGCCTGCTCCTTCCCATCCAGCACCCAGCCTCTTCAACTCCCAGTTAAAGTAAATGCCACACCTGCTCCGTCATCTGAGAGGTTGGTCACCACCCGCTCCCTTGTCCCTCCCCCCCCGCCCCCCTCCCCCGGTCTCCCCATCTCCCCCACCGTGCCAGGGTTTGCTGCTTCCTGGGGCTCTCCCCGAACTGTGTGCTCACCCCGCTAGTCCAGGCCACCATTCACTGTCCTCTAGACGACTGAACGGCTTCAGTCTGGCTGTCCTCCGGGTCTCTCTAGTTCGTTCTGGCACCCTGGGCATTCTGAGCGTTCTAAAGCACAAATCCAGCCGTGCCCGGTCCTGTGGGAACCCTTCAGCGGCTCCGTGCCATTCTTGACTCTGCTTACAAGATGCCTCCAAAAGGTTGAGCCCTGGCCTGTGCCTCAGGCCCCATCTCTTGCCAGGGCTGTTCTGCGCGTTCTGCACTAACGTGCAGTTTTCAGTGGCTTGCTTTCTGCGGGGGTCATCTGCTGGACAGCCCTCTCCCTGGCATGCACTTCCCACCCATCCGCAATCCCATCCTCTAAGCTTCCTTCCAACTAGTCCTCCGTCCTGGCCAGCCCATTCCTGTCTCTGGACGGCCCTGTCTCTGGACCAGCGGGCTGGGGCTGGGGTTGGGGCTGGGGCTGCTCCCCACGCCCCTGGGTGCAATGCTAACTTAAGCAAGCGTGCGTGAGCTGTGTCCTTAATGCCTGTCTCCCGAGGCCGAACTGCAACACACACACACACACACACACACACACACACACACACACATGACCCCCCGGCCGGCACCGAACCCCGCGCCCGGGCGGCAACGGGTCTCCTCCTAGGTCGGCAAATGGAACGGGTGTCCCCCCGGATGCTCTAGGAAGCAAGGACAACTACAACTCCCAGCATGCCCCGAGGCGGCGGCGCCCCGGGTCCGCGGTGGTTGCCTGGCGACCGGGCGTGTCCCGGAAGGCGGGCGGGGCGGTGGGTGGGATTTCCGGGGCGGTGGTTGCATCAGATTCTGGGAAGCTGTGGCCTTTGGCTGGTTTGGAATTTCTAAGATGTCAGGTTCCTCTGGGGAGCAGGGTGAGTGCGCGCGGCGGGGCGGCGGGATGAACCCGCGCTGGGGTTTCGGCGGGTCCCCGGGGTGGGCGGAGGATGACCCCCTCGCCTTGGGTCGGCGGATCTCCTGGCCGGGCGGGTGATGACCCCGGGCCTGAGGTGTCGGCAGGTTCCTTCGGCCAGCATGCGGAGGATGACCCCGGTCCTGGGGGTGGCCTTTTCCCCGGGGCGGGCTTGGGACCACCCCGGTTTGGGGGTCGGCGTGTCCCCGGAGCGACCTGGCGGACGTTGAGCCTCCCCGGGATCCCCGGCCTGGGCCTGCGCTCCCTGCGCTTCGCTGGACATCTGTCGGCTCGGCGCGGTTTCGAGGCCACCCCGTCCTCAGCCTCTCCCTCGGGCTCCGCGGGGGTCCTCAGGCGCCCCACCCCGGAGCGCTACCCCACCTCCCTTAGCTGGTGTCTGGGCGGGATCTGGCGCCCCCCTGTCCCCAGCTGTACTCTGGGGACAGGCAGAGCCCCGGGGTTGTTTCAGTTGGCGTCGAGCCTGGCAGCAAGCCGGGGGTGGGCGAAAGAAGCTGGGGTTCGCAGACACCCACATGAAAGGCGTCGGGTTTTATGAAGGCTTTCATCTGGGGCTCCACACACAGTGGCCATTGGGCTCTGCTTGATCAGTGCGTTATTACCCCACTTTACTGCCTGCCTCCTGGGAGGCTCAGGGCGCAGCTCTGCCCACCCCGGGCTCTGATGTCACCAGCGCGTGGACCAACGCGTCCGCAGGCCAGCTTGGAAGAGCGCTGGATCTTTTCCCACAGACCCGCAAGTAGGGCTGTGACTTCTGGCAAGTCGAGAGATTGTCACCGGGATTCCCGTCTGGAGATTATTGACCTAGAGTTTTACTGCTCTTGGCTGGTGAAAATGATGTGTGAGTGTTCCAGCCTGCCCACACTTTAGGCTGTGTGTGTCCCCTTTGCCTCTGGGTGCTCTGGGCCCCCAAGTGGGGAGCTCCGACCACCTGGGTAACCCTGTGACGTGGGAGGCACCCACATGACGGGCTGCTGCCCCACACCAGCACCCACATACCAGGCTCACTGTACCTCCCCCGACAGGCGTGCCTGGATGCCAGGACTGTCCCCACCTTCCCTAGAGCCAGGCAGCCTGAGAAGTCCACCCCGCCTCCTGTGAAACAGTAGCATGGTCACAGCCCTGAGTCCGGAGCCAGTGTGGTGCGCCTGGGCTCCCAGCTCTGCCCCTTTCTTTTTTTTTAATTTTTTTTTATTTTAAAGATTTTATTTGACAGACACAGTGAGAGAGGGAACACAAGCAGGGGGAGTGGGAGAGGGAGAAGCAGGCTTCCCGCAGAGCAGGGAGCCCGATGCGGGGCTCGATTCCAGGACCCCGGGACCATGACCTGAGCCGAAGGCAGACGCTTTACGACTGAGCCACCCAGGCGCCCCTCTGCCCCTTTCTCAGAGCACGGGGGGCCAAGCGTGCCACCTCAGAGGATGTGGACCCTTAAGGGGTCATCCCTTGGAAAGGATTTAGAGTAGCACCTGGCACAGGACAGACGCTGTGTGTCTGGATTGAAACCTGGAGCTTGTTTCTCTGTTCTTTTTTGTTTTTTAATGAAAGCGTGGTTCTGTTTCATTTGTGGACATAAATGACATGTTGGGTTTTTTCTTTTAATTGCTTTAGCAAGTCAGGTGTTTGGAGGCTTGGTAAGAATTGGCCTGTTTTTGGAGATTGCTCTATAGATTGGAATTGAGCCCCCAGTTTGTCTGGACAGCTGATGGATTTTTCTAGTCCTGTGCCGTAGGGTAGTACCTCTCAGCCAGTGCTTGGGCCCAGGACGCAGCCCACCTGCTCTTCCTTTCCTGGTGCCCCCCACCCACCTGTCCCTAGGCTTCCTCCGAGGTTGAGAACCTGTGGTCATCCCCTGAGGAAACAGGAAATAAAATCAAATAGGAAAGGGTGTGTATGGATGCTAGAGTTGTAGATATGCTTGGTTTCCAGTTTCTGAAAGTTTTTTATTCCTAAGGTTGGATTCATCAAAAGTGACCATCTCCCCAGGCTTTTTTTTTTTTTTTTTTTT